TTGAGCTCTCTTGAGTGTAGGATGGCATCAGGACAAAATGCCATCTGTTTCTCCTACAATATCCCAAGAGCAGCACTATCTGTTTTGGTACAAGCAAAGTCATGAGGCTCAGGTTGCCTTCTTAAATTTATCTTTAATCGCTTTGGAGATAGAGAGGAAAAAAATGCTATCTCACCATGTCCTGTGAAGAAAAATACTTCAGGATAAGCCATTTCCTTCAATAATGAGATCAAATCAAACCTAGAAGAAATTTACAGATAATACAGCAAAATAAGGCTGGTGGTTACTTGCATCATGGTCAATATAACCTTCAACTGCAGTAGTTAGAGGAAACAATTCTTCCCACATTGTAAGAGAAAGTTTCCAGTTGCAGAGTTTTTTCAAATTGAATAAACCTCTATTTTTATTTTTTAAATATAAATAGATTTAGTCAATAGAAAATTTCCTTTAAAGCGTTAATTCTAGTATGGAAACATTTTATGTGTTTGTGTGTATATACGTATAAACATACGTATATGTGACAGCATGAAGTGTTTATTTTTTAAGAAAAAAATGAGATATTTTGTCTATTTCCTCATTATAGGTACATAAGGGCAAAACAACTGTGTGTCTAGTCACTTGCTTCCCTTTTATATTATACCCTGTCAACAGCAGAGCACAGGGAAGCTGGGGTAGTAGCTTTGCATGGCACTACCTTCCCATGGCCAGAAGTGTGGTGGCTAAAGGTATATTCTCTGGAGTCAAGGCTGTCTGAATTAAAATGCCAGCTATATCCCTTTCCAGTGTAAAGTGGGGGCAAGCTATCTTCCCTTTTTGAGCCTCAGTGTCCTCATCCGTAAAAGTATGATCATAAAAGTATGGGTCTCTTAGTGTCTTTGCCAGGATTAAATTAGATAATCCATAGAAAGTGCTTACATTGAACCTGGTGCGTGGCACACTCAATACTAGTAGGAGTTGTTTTCCCTTGCCCAAAAGAGGGCATGATCCCTGCTGAACAGTCCAAAGAACTGATAATGAAGATGTTAAAGCATGCTAATGGATTAAAGTTTTACTCAGGAGAAATCAGAGGCCAAATATGTTTAAGGATGGAAGGAGAAAAAGCCTTGCAGTATGTCTCAATGTTACCACAC